ATGGACTCTAAAATTATGAGTAGGATTTAGGAAAACGACAATGGATACTGCAGTAACCTAGGTTAGGAACGGTGGGAGACCCTTTGCCATTCCTAGATCTGAATGGTTGAGGGAAAACAACATGTACCGGAATCTGGAGATAGAGTGCTGTATGGAGAGCAAGCTGCCTGGCAGGAGCTGTGACCTTCCTATGAGGAGTGCGGCCCAATGCTACAGAGGAACAGGGACAGAAACAAAACAAAACAAAACAAAAAAAACGTCTTTATCTTTCCTCTTCTCAATATGCCAATATTATGCTAATACTCCAAACTGGCTAACATAGCCAGAAGCCAGAGGGAAAATGAACTGGCTGATAACATCCTAAAGTGCAACCTCATGAAACACTGTAACGGGAGAAGAATAGAGAATGGATCTAAGGTACAAACAGAAGATATCCAGCAGTCCATACCTTTGTTCTTCAGCATCTATTCTTGTCCTCTATTTAGATAACAATTTTGTGTCCTCAACGTAGGAAACATACAAAGTTCTATAAGCTACTATTTCATAAGAGGTTGATGTCAATTCATTCATATTTTTCTCATGAACATATGGAACATTCTCCAGGATAGACCATAAGTTAGATGATAAAACACTTCTCAATAATTTAAAAAGTAGGGCCAGCCGAATGGCTCGTTGGTTAAGAGTTGGCTTGGGAGTGTGAGCTCTGAGCTGCAAGGCTGCCGTTTCGGATCTCACATGGGCCAGTGATGCTGTGCCCTCTACAGCTAAGATGGTGAACAACATGTTGCTCGACCTGGAGCTGGGCTGCTGTGAGTTGCCGGCGACGGCATAGGCTGCAGTGGGCTGCCTTCAGCTACCATGAGTGGCCGGCTGTCGGCATGAGCTGCTGTGAGCCACTGTGAGCGGCTGTCCAATGGCCGGCAACCGATCTGCCTCAGCCAGGAAGAGCACAATGATTACAATACCAACATGGGCCAGTGAAGCGACGTCCTCCACAACTAGACTGAAGAACAAAAGGACAGAAACTTGTCTGTTCTCCTTCCCCAATTCCTCAACACTGTTCCCTCCCTCCCCCAATTCCCCAATAAAATCTTTAAATAATAATAATAATAATAATAATTTTAAAAGCATTGAAGCAATACAAAATAAGTTCTCCATACTTAACAAAATTAAATTAGAAATCAACAACAAAAGGATATATGGGGAGATTACCAAATATTTTCAAATTAAACAATGTACTTTTAAATAATTCATGGTTCAAAGGAGAAATTAAAGGGAAATTGGAAAATACTTTGAATTGAATGAAAATAACACAACATATAAAACTTATGGAATACAGCTAAAGCAGTGCTTTAATGGTAAATTTATAGCTTTAAGTGTCTATATTTAGAAAGATCTTAAATCAGTAATCTAAGCTTAAATGTTTAGAAGAACAGCAAATTAAAGCTAAAGCAAACAGAAAAAGTAATTATAAAGATCGGGGTTGAAACCAATGAAAAAGAAAATAGGGGGAAAAAGAAATCAAATGGAACCCCAAAGTCGGTTCTTTGAATAGATCAGATCAACAAAATTGGTAAGATCAAGGAAAAAAGGCAAGAAAACAGAGATTACCCAAATCAAGAATGAGCGTGGGGAATATAGTCAATAATACTGTAACAACTATATATAGTGTCAGGTGGGTACTAGACTTATTGGGGGTGATCACTTGGTAAGTTATATAAATGTCTAATCTGTATGGTATACTTGAAACTAACATAATACTGTATGTCAACTGTAATTAAAAAGAAATTCTGTCAAAGTAAAAAAAAACAAACAAACACACAAAAAAACAGATGGCTTCACTGGTTAATTCTATCAAACATTTAAATAAGAATAACAATCATTTATAAACACTTCCAGAAAACAGAAAAATACTTCACAACTCATTCTATGATGCTAATTCCAAAGCCAGAAAAACATAGCGAAAGTAAACCACAGACCAATATCCCTCATGAATTGTGGCAAAATACTCAATGAAATATTAGTAAATCGTATCAAGCACCTCTTTCTGCAGTGTTGTTAATGTTCCATTTCTTGACCTACTGGTAAATCACTGAGCTGAATATTTTTGTTTTGTGCATGTATCTGTGTTATAGTTCAAGATTTTAGAAGATTTAAATACACACATACAAGAAAAGAATGCCTAGTCTATGCCTTCAAAGTGTTAAGTAATTTGGTAAAAGACAAAGACTGATAGAAAAATGAAAATGACAGAATATGACAAGTACCCTCCCTAAAAGGTATAAAGTGTGAAGAAAAAATAAGAATGTAATCAATCTATGTATGCTGTTTTTATTTTACTTTTGAGGGGATATGAGAAGAAAAAAACAAGAAAAAGTTTATAGAGAAAACAGAATTTGAGTTGCATTAATCATGGATAGGTAAAATTTCAACAGGTTTAAGAGGAAGAAAAATTAAGGTAAGTGAGCTGCATGAGCAAAGCTTGAAGTCTATGTGGGAAAAACATAAGGTCAGGTTTGGCTCCACTACTACATGTATAGATGGAAAAAAAAATCACTTGAAGGTCAAGCTGAAAATACATGAACTTACTTAATCAAAGTGTGGATGGAGTAATTTAAGTTTTCAGATCAGGGAAAAAACAATCCATATGCTTTGGGGGTATTATTTAGTGTCGGAGGTAATTAGTTTAATGGATTGGACGCAGGAGATGGAGAAAGAGGTAGCAGCAGTTAAGGGACTAAAGCAGTGGTTCTCAACCACATTCTGAACCTTTCAGGAGCTAGTGAGATCAAAACTATTTCATAACTTGTTTGCCTTTCTCAGACTCAATTTTTAAGTTTTCAGGTGCTATATGACATGCGTCCTCTATTAAACCAGGCAGCAAAGGCCTAAGCCTGAAAAACTGAGGTACTATTTTTATGTATAAAAATACAAAACAATCCCACTTTTCTTGATAATTTTGTTATGGGAAATAGTTACATTTTCATTAAAAATGTTATTTATAGTTTATAATTTTTAAATCAAGTTTTTAGTTTGTCCTACTTTTGAATACATTAAATATGGATAGATGTAAACCATACAAAAAAAGCTCTTTGGAGTCCTTAATAATTTTTATCAGTATAAAGGGATCCAAGACCAAAGAGTTTCTGAAAAGAATTCTGAACATAAAAGACTTCTGAAAAGAATTATGGACATAAAACATAGTAGTAGTAAGAATAAAATGGAAAAGATTAAATAAAAGATATCGCAGAAAGAGAATTGACATAAATGTAGGGGCAAAATGGGGAAAGAGACAAAGAAGAATCCAGAAAGTCAGCCTGAATGATTTGGGAGAGTGACAGATTAAGAGTTAAGGATATAAAAAAGATCAGAGAGTGTAGGTGTGACAAGAATTCAATTTTGACACAAATAAAATGCCAGCCAAGCAGCCAAGTAGAGACATGTAAGCAAATGAAATATATAAGAGCTAAGATATCGTTTGATGGGCATGTGTATAGAAAAGACCACGTTGTTTTGGTATCTTACATAATTGAACATTACCTCAAGCTAAAAAGGTATACGAGTACATAAGCGTTACCATGAATTTCTTGGATCATTTGTCCCCAATTTCTTGGTGGAAGGTTGTAGTTTCTTCTGAAAACATCACTTGTACTGCCAATTCTGGAAGTTTCTGGGATACATATTTTTACTAAGTGCTTTTTTATATTTTCTTAAGTCTTGGCTAAATTGCTGCAGATAATTAGCAATTTCTAAGAGGCAGTCTGGTGTAGTCCTAGGGGAACCAGACAAAAGACAGAAAACTTCATTCTCCTTAGTCACTTATACAAATTTATAAAATGAAGGTAAATATGCAAAGTTAATCTACAAGGCTGCTTCAGATCTAAAATTTTATGAAACAGCTATCAACCCCCTTATCATGAACAAATACATATACCCCAGCCTCCAAGGAGGTACAGAACTAACCCAGGTGTTAACTAGCAATACCTTTCTCAATGGACAGTATCTATTCTATTATTGTTCCTATGTAAAGTAGGATTGTCTTTAAATTTATTTTAAAAGCCACTTCTTTGGAATGTTCAGAAGTCCTGAATCTTATCTTTTGTCAACAAATTTGACTTTACCTGACTGGTAGACTCCTTGGTTTTGCAAATTTTAAGCACACTGTGCCCTGACACCCTTACCTCCAATTCCCCACCTAACAGTCATCTTTCCAGGCTAAAGAGTTCTGATTATTTGCTTAATCTTAAAAACCTCTGCATCCCACTGATCCTCTAAATTGCCCATTTCTAGATTTTCTTGAGTTCTACTAAGTCGGTCCTGAAGTCATGGGATTAAAGATGAATGAATAATTGCAGGCAGAATAATGTTACTGACAGAGAAAGAAACCCATCATGTTCCTGGGCTTTTTGGTAGCAATGTATCAGGTTTCTATCTTCATGGAATAGTTTATAGCATGCTTATCTTTTATTTTACTAGCAAAAGGACATTTTTTCCAAATGAAATTTTATATAATACCTCACTATATGAAACAGGCCATAAAATGCAAGTGTTCTGATTTAGGTTTGTAAAGGCCTAATGCCCCACAGATTTGGTCAGCCTTTGTCCCTCCTTCACATCCCATGCAACAAAGGCCCTTTAGGGTGCTTCCTAGGCAGCATGAAGTACACCATAAAAATCATCACTTCACAGCATCTTTAAATATTAAAGATGCCAATATGGATGTAAGAATCAAAGCTTCAAATGAAATAAATCAATTACTTCAGAAGGCCTCTTTACTGCAACATCAATAAAACACAAAATTCATTTCATCTCAATTTACTCAAACACGTAAAACTTCTCAAGTCCATTTTACAAAAACTGTCCTTTTTTTTAAGTAGTCAAGGGATGTATATATCAACTTAAGAGAGATACTGACAATAGTATGCTATCAGAAGGAACAATTAGTAATTCCTCCTATAATAGATGCCAGTATAGTAAAAGATATCAAACACACACATTAGCAGTAATCAAAATTATTTTTTATTGACATTTGCTTACAAGTTTGCTGCTTTTGGGCAGAGCTAAACCTCAAGTATTGAGTTAGTGCCAGCCATATTTCCATCAACTGAATTATAGCAGTGAATTTCCTGTATGTTCCCCTAGGCTTCTATCCCAGAAACTACTGGGTTGCCGGAAAAGTCATGACGTATTTTTTCTATGTTTTTCGTAAAAATGCGTCATGACTTTTCCGACAACCCAATAGAACATTAACCCTCCCAATGTGTCTAGGTACTGGAGCAAAGATTTGACATTTGTTTTTAAAATATTTAGCCACTCAAAAACAAACCAAACAGCATACTGTAAAGAAAACAATGTTTATATCCAAATAACCCAGGCTCAGAGAATTTCTGATTACAGAATATTGTATAAGTAATATAAACCAATCTTCTTCCAAACTATTTAATTCTTGCAATGCATAATTAAGCGTTTATCTTACAAAATGTTAATACTTTGAGAAATTGATTCTCTCACATTCGGCTTTGTAAGATCTTCCCTCCCAAGAAACAACCCACAACGTCTCCAAATCTTATAAAAGAACTATTATCTTGGACTAAGCTGTTCAGAAGTGTTCGTATTTCCTTTCTATTATACTCCATAGTTTAATGCAAAATGGAGGATATGGTATCCAAATTGATACTCCATAGTTTAATGCAAAATGGAGGATATGGTATCCAAATTGAAATATATGGCATTTGAGCAATTCAAGCTTTAAATAGGCTAGAACATTTATAGCCTGGTAAAAAAACACAATGGAGACATAACTACTATAGTAAACACAATTTTGGCCAGTAATGGGTCAGAAATTACAGTTAATACTCCTACTTTAAGCTCATCAATGTCATATTAAAAAAGAATAACAGACATTTGGCAAAAACCTTCTAAATTATTTATCCCAAATTCTCAAATAGGAAGTCATTTTTAACGCATGACTCAAATTTTACACTTCAATCATTCCTGTTTTTCTTTTAAGACTATTCAGAAGAAATGATTCTATTTAAACATAACCTAGTTTTTCCTCTCACACATCTTTACATAAAATTACTAAAATCATGATTCTAAGAAATTTCTTTTTAATTATACAAATATTAAATGCTTAAATTGCCATAAACAAATGAGATCTTTCTTATTCTATCTACAATGATCTATTACGAAATTTGTAAGAACTCTTTTCCACAGCTTTTCCTTATCACCATCACGATTTATGAAAATTGGTCTCCATTGCACAGCAAACTAGCATCCATGCTTATTCCACATAGGTACTGCCAGTGGTCCCTGCGGTGTCCTTTCAACAATGACAAACTCATCAGGGTTGCCAAATGCTTCATAGAAAACCAATAAATCTTGTATTGCATGCTCCTCAATCTGAAAGGAGAAAAGGAAAAAAAAAATAAAAAGACTTGCTTTATTCTTTTAATTGTAAACTAAGCAAGATTATATTAGCTTTCCAATTTCCTTTTGTGGAACTACCACTTTCTGTGATATTATACAATACAGCGGAGTTAAATTAGGTACCTGTTATTGCCTTGGCAAGGAAAAGGCTTGAGGCCCTAGCTAGAATAATCAGGTACCCACCCTTCCTTGAAATTTATTCTTGAGCAGAAGAAAAAGGAAACTGATAATAGTTGTTGGAGTCCATTCATTCTAATAGTTTCATTCTATGAGATATTTTTTTTTGTTATTGTACAAGTCTTCTAACTCTTGCTTCTAAGCTCTCTAGGGCAAATATGGGTCTTTGTTTCCAAGTGTGGCTCTCTGGTCTTTCAGCTAAGTCTGTGGAATCTCAGCACCCCTCAAATAACTGTTCTTCTCCTTAAGTTAGCCAGAGTTGGGGTCTGTTGCTTACAACTTAAGAACTCTTAATGATACTTACTGAACTTCTGAGGCAGGTGTAGCGTGCTAGATAATGCCAAATTTTCTACTGGTCTTTTTTAAAACAGTTGAAAGCACACCATTACTTTATGTTACCTTTATCACAGTTCTAAATTAGTTCTAAATTAGTTATTCTGAATAGTTAAATTGATGAATGTCTCAGTTTAGTTTTACATTGCATTTATATTTTAATATAAGTATATGCACCTACACAAAGCAAACAAACATAATTTTCTTAAGATCTAAGCATAAAACCTATTGTAGTTCTTTCCTAAATTAAACCCGTATAAGAATGTTCTTTACCTGAATCAAAGCCAAGGGTTTTTCTCGACTTCTGATAAGCGCTGCTTCCTGTTGCAGTTCTTCTTCCACAATAGATGCAAAAGTGACTGGGGCCGCCACAGCAGGAGCAGTCAAGGAAGAAGACAGCCAGGGGCTGAAAGAAGAGTAATAAAAGAGTTCGCATTTACCTTTCCGAATTTTTGCACACAAAATCTCCTCTGAAATACTCGTTAATAGTATTACGTTTTTCCCAGTGACCTATAACATAAGGGACCTGGAAGCTTTTGCATTCTATTTACAGAATGATGAGACGAGAAACAGAAAAAAGGAGAATATTTTATTTGGATTAGTGCTGCATCAAAAAGTGGGATGGAGCAGAAGCAATTTAACTACAGAAAAGTAACTCAAACTGTGGAGCAGGGAGTACTCAAATAACACATTCTATTCAATATCACACTATTCCCAATTTCTTAATATTCTCTTTCAGGGCTAAGCAACAGCTAACCTTTGGAGGTTGCAAAGCTAATTAATTAACCTTACTTGTGACTGTCTAGAAGTGGTACATTTGAAATATGGTTGCCTTCTGGTCCTGGGGTACCATGAGTAGAGCATCTGCAAAACAAATGCCGAAACTGAAGGTTAAAGCCTCTAGTAACATTAGTAAAATTGCTTATTAATACAAATGCAGAGGAAGAAATGCAACCCCTGACTCAGGAGACAAATTAATGTGTGCTGTCATAATTACCTTTAAAATTATAAGCAAAGAAAAATATCTATAGGTATTTACAAAATCTTGTATATAAAATATCACGGGAAAATCTTATATAAGAAATGGTCTATTTTTAAAATAATATTCATATAGTTATTTATTGAAATCAAACATGCATTATGAAATACAACTTTGTGAAGACTGTTTTACATAATATTTTATGACTAAAAGTGACAATTTAGCACTAAATTTCAAAATATAGCAGGTCCTTGAATAACATCATTTCAGTTAACATCGTTTATAGTTATAATGTTGATGCTGTAGGAACTTAACTCTTATTTTTATAAATTAGCCTATGGTAAAATTGGTTTCGTTATACTCACCTCACTTAAAGTTGCAGAACCTACTGATGACATTAAATGGAGACTTACTACATATAGACCAGATAATTAGCAGCCAAATTTTGTGAGTAACTAATACATATATAGTCTAAATTTTGTAAGTGACTAAAATATAGTAAATACTTTCACAAGCTAGGGATTATAGATAGATCAGAAATATAAAACATGATCTCTATCTTCTAAGAACTTACAAACTATATGAGGAAACAAAATAAAATGACATATAATACAACAGAAAAGAATTTAAGACAGTATCTAACAAACTGAGGTTTGCTGATTGATTATAAGGACTACAAAAATCAGAAAGATTTGGTCATTTGAGAGGGCCTCATGGAAAAGACCATAAAAGGGGTGTAGGATGAGGGTAGTAGGAAGCACTCCAGTAAGCGGAAGAATGAATAAAGGTACTATAGAGGCTGGCCTAATTGTGTAATTTTAGTTAGAAAGGTACCTAGAGATTACCTAGGTTAATCCAATGCCGTCTTTCAACAATGAGCAAACAGACCTCGACAGGTTTAATAACATAAAGGCTGAGTGTGAGCATACAGGGCCTAAAATATTACTTCCTGATTCATTTATGCACATTTATTGGGAATATGGCAGCACTATGGTGCTGAAAATCAGGGTGATTAGAAAAACTAAGTCCCTCCGCCTCAAAAAATTCTGGTAGAAGAGATTTTTTTTAAATGTTAAGCAATGATACAACAATGTGAGAGTACTGTAACTGTTATCTCTACCAATATGTACAAAGTATGGATTCACAGGGAAAAATAACATAATAGGGAAAGGGGTATACGTTGTTGGCTTTACTGAGGAAATGACATTAAAACTGAGGAGAGCGACACTGACATAGGGTTTTGGTAGTACAAATACAAGGAATGATAAAAGACTTTGGTGGCTCACGTAAAGGTAGGCTCTTCTCTTTGGTACACAGTATAATTGAATTAAGAGTATAGAAGAGCTTAAAAGGAAAATAAAGTTAAAATGAAACAGTGAAAACTAAAATGTTTAGACCTGATTTGTGGGCAAATTTACTGAGAGTATGTTTGTATACATTATCTCATTTAATCTTTATAGTACTCTGAAGAAAGCATGTATTATTTCCCTTATGTTGATTAGGAAACTAAGACTTGAAGAGTGTTACATAGTTTATCTGATTCACAAAATGGGTAAGTGGCAAAGACAGAACTCAAACCCTGGCATTTTTCACTCAGAGTCCAGAGTGTTTTCTGTTATCACAAAGCTGACTTTATTTCTAGTAATCCCCTTGGTCTAGAACACTGTCCACTACAAATGTCTTCTCATTCTTTAAGGACTGGCTCAAGTATCACCTTCTTTCTGCTCCTACAGCACTTCAATTACTCTTATGAAGCTTCACACGCTGTGTTATTGTTTACATGTCTGACTTAACTAGTCGACTAGTCTCTCAAGATATAGGACTATGTTTCATTCATCTTTGTACCTCGGTGTCTAGCAGAACACCTGGATGACTGTTATGAAAAGTTGATTACAGGATAAATAACTGAAGCAGAAAGCCAAAGGATTTTAGGTATGTGATAAAATAAAAGCATTTTTTTTCCTAAAAAGTTCCTGATTCCTTTGAATTACTGGTACCTTTTTTCTTCCAGAAGTAGGTAATGAAATACAAACTGAAATGAAAATAGGTATAGTTACAGGGTTCCTAGTTTTAAGGAAATTCTATGACTTGAAATCTGCTAGATACCTGACCAAATAAGAGAAGTCTCCAGGATAAAATAAATGACCATGAGAAAAATGAAGCCAAAGAAATGAACTAGGAAACTGTTGGGATAAACTTGTTATGAGATGATGATAATTTAGATTTAAATGACTGTAAAATAAATAGAAAAATTCTACATTCTCATGGAATAGATAACTATCTTAAACAGAGACTAAATGCAAACTCACTTGGTTAAATTCCTTGAAAGGTTCTGTCTGAAGTCAGTCTAAGACTAGAGATTAGAGGTCTTCGAGGTCATTCAAGTATAAGACAGAACAACAATAGATAATGACTTAAATGATGCTCAAAAATCAATCTACATATACATACACACATCATCATCATCATCATCATCCTGGTGTCTGCAGATCAACTAAAGTGTTTGACACTTGCAATGTAGAACCTATTAATGAATTGTTAAGTAAGAAGCAGCAGCAGCCACAAGCTCTATCTTAGGAAATGGTATGTAACTGGCTAAAATAATTGAATATCAGGACTAGTATCTTATATAGACTTTGTTAAATCAAAGTTAAGCAATCAGAGCTTAATTATAACAACTTATTTGTGTAACATTTTGTAATTTATAAAGTACTATCATACACATTATCTGATAAAAGCTTTATAATAAATCTATGAGGTAAGGCATTACTGTTCTCATTTCACATATGATGAAATTGAGGTTCAGAAAGGCTCACAAAGGGCTATTGTAAGAGTTAAGACTATAACTCAAATCTGTTTCATAAAATTATAATCCCAGAACTCTTTCCACTAATGATTTTTCAATGGATAATCTCATTAATTATAAAATTACCCCCAAAATTTCATCTTAGAATGAAGTAAAACTGATAAGTAAAATAGAGCTATGATTAAACAAATATAAAAAAAATTTCTCAACTTCCAGATAATAAATATCGCATCAAGCTTAAGGTATTTATAACATAGAAACATATGTCTCAATAGACAATTTGTATAAAATTTAGCCTTCTGAAAATAAACAGCATAAATGAAAACAATATAAATAGGCCAGCTAAAAGTGAAAGAAAACATTTTAAAATGATATAAAATAATGCAAAATAATACTGAATGTCAGCTGTAATTGAAAATAAAAAAAATAAATAAAAAAACATTTAAAAATAAAAAAGAACACATAACAATAAACTAGGAACTGCATAAATCCTTTTCTATATTTTTAACACCTCCAAACAACATTGCCATTCTTGGATTTCCCTAGCCTTGGGGGAAAAAAATCACATTTCTAAAACTAAAAAAGGAATGTTTGATCGGTGGAATTTCCTGCGATGAGCCCCCAATCCCTGCCACACCTCCCAGTTCCCTAAACGGACATAAGCATTCCTGTCTTCTTGTTTAATTCCCATTATTTCATCTGTTTACACTGTCTTTTCTCTTCTCTTCTTTTAAAAATCCCATCCTATGTACAAAAGTTTGTGGCAATGAAATGATCAGTATTTTTTTCTAATATTATTTATATGGCCATAAAGATAATAATAAAATATTTGGGATTGAATACAAAAGTGTTTATAAACTAATACTCAAGCCCTTCTTCCTCAGTAATTTCCTTACAACTCTAGCACAGTCATTTTTTCCTTCTCTGAGTCACTCATCTGGCCTTTAATCATATATATTGTTTTGTGACTTCCTTAATACTGTTACATTGTACTGGAATTTCATCCTTGCTCAGTTATTTAATTTTCATGTGTGCCTAGTTAGACCGAGATTTCAAACACATGTAAGGCAAGGCCTGTGCATTATACTTTTCTATATACCCAAGAGAGGCCAGCAGAATGTTGTACATATATCAAGTGTCCCATAATTTGGTTAATTAATATTTTACTTTATCTGTTATGCTTTATTACTTCCTTTAAAGAAACTCACTTACGATTACATATATTTTACGAAATTAAAAAATGAAATTCAAGCTATTTTCTTTCTCAGTATTCAGATAACACACAGCTATTTAAAAGATTAACTTCCACTTACCGAATACCAAGGTAAGGGCAGCATGATACTATCATACACTCCTTTAACTAAAATTTCCAAAGCAGTGTAACAGCACATATCACTTTTCACAATTAAGAGCCCTGATGTAATAGCACACTCTAGTGATCAACTATAAAATCACAGGTCCTTAATATTTTAAGAATTCCATGACAAATAAAAATATTTATCTAAAGAAAATAAGAAAATTTAATGTAGTGTTAATATTTAAATATTACAAAATTACAAAAATGAACTTAATGTTCATACCTTAAAATGTATACATTTAAGGCATATAACTTGCTATATTAGAAACAGATGTTACTTGAGACAACTACAATTTTACTTCATTTATTTATCCCGTCATTTACCAAATGCTCACTGAACACCTACTACATGCTAGGAGACATTCTAAGCGTTGGTGATAAGCAAAAGGATCAATCTTCCTTGTTCTCATTGAACATAGAGTTGAATATACGGACATTAAAATACTTGTAGTAAAAAGCATTAAACAAAGAATCACACTAATAATGAGTATAACTGTGAAAAGTGTGATGAGTGAGAAGTGCGCTAAGGACATATAACAGAAAACTGACCTTGAAAGGGAAAACTGACTTCCCCCCAAGATACGGCTGATAGAAACTGAAAGGGTCAAAGTCAACTAGTCAAAAGGTAGTAGGTGGGAAGAAGTAAATGGTCTTTCAAAAACTAAGAGAAGGCCGAGATAGCTAGAATACAGAGATCATATTAAAGACAGGACAAAAGAGGCTGGCAGGAGCCAGAGTAGGTAGGCCTTGAAGGCCATATAAGAATTCTAGCTTTTATCCTAAGAGCAGTAAAATCTGTCCTTTAAAAAGAACGCACTGGCTCAATATATTGAAGGAAAGGAAGAAAGGCTGTGGCAGGACCAGTTAGGAGGCTTCCTTGGGTGGCCCAGGTGAAGTACCACAGTAGCCTGAATGAGGGTGATGGCAGTGGAATTTAGTATATGAATTTAAGAAATTTTTAAGAGATAACACTGGCACATCCTGATGACAAGCTGGACATTGGTGAGGAAGATGGACATGTCAAAGAATTGCAAATGACACTTATCAAGGAACAAAAATCAGGAATATTGGGCTATTTAATGTTTTGTCTATATTTTTTTGTTTTATTTTGGTTTTATGAGAGAGGTATGAGGAAAACATTAAGTTTGGTGTTGCTAACATCTAAATAGGATGGATATATAAAGAAGGAAGTTGGATAACTAAGTCTGAAGCTCAGATGACAGATGTGAATTTTTAGTATATAGGTAATAACCGAACATAGAAGCTCATGAAATAGGTAGTACAGAAATAATATAAAGTTAAATGAGAAGATGACCTGTAATTAACCTTCAAGTACAATGAGTCATATAAAAAGTCTATGGTGGGCCGGCCGAGTGGCGCGATGGTTAAGAACTCGCTTGGGATGCCAGAGAGCCCCGGTTCGGATCCCACATATGAGGGCCAGTGACACTGCCCCTTTCCCCAATTCCCCAGCGCTGTTCCCATCCCCCCAATTCCCCAATAAAAATCTTAAAAAAAAAAAAAAGTCTATGGTGTTGGTAATATGAAGGTCAGCGCTAAACTTAGCCTGAACTGTTTTAGTTTAATAATGGGACTAGAAGCCGGAATGGATTATGAAGTGTGTGGGAGCTGACAGCTCTTTTGAGAAATCTGGCTGTGAAGGAAGTAGGATATTGGTAATGATAGGACAACTGCTATAGCAGAAAGTGTTGGGGCTGAGTGAGGGATTGATTATCTGACCTAGACCACAAGAAAGAGACCTGAGCATACTCAAAATTAGATGGGAAGAATCTACTTAAAAGGGAAAGGATGAATACCCACAAGAAAAGAGAGGAATAAGGAATAGTTTAAGGCTCTAAAGTGAAAGGGAGTTAAGATACAAGCACAACTATAAATACTAGCCTTAGATAAAAAGGATAACTGTTGCAAAACAAAAAGGGAAGGCGAAGATATGATGAATACAAATAGACGCAGATTTGTGTGTCTCCAGTAGGAAAGTAAAAAAGTTACGTACCTTTCAAATTAAAAACATGGTTTCTAGGATGTCATTCATTATATAACTTACAAAAACAATTGTTTTTCTTATATCAAAAATGACTATACTAGATGATTATACTGAATATATACTATATTTAGCTTTTTAAAATATACTAGATATAGGGTCATTAACAGAGGATAACAAATAACCAAATTTTTCTAATTAAAAAATTTGACCAGAATAGACAAACCTAATGAAATGTACACCTAACTATTTTAAAGCATCTGTTTTGATTATAATTATGTATGTAATAGAAACAAGACACATAAGTGGCACTCAAATGTAGTTAGACAAACATCATTTTTACTGTCAAAGTTTAACACTAAGACATTACATGCATGCATTTAAAATACGAAACATTTTAAAAATCATATTGGACTTTAAAAACCGGTATCAAAAATAGCTAGAGAAAAAACTAGAAACACCCAAAGGTGTATCAACAGACACAGATAAACAGACTGTTTTATATCCATACAATGAAATACTACTTAGCAACAAAATGGAATGAACTACCAATACACACAAGTTGGATGAATCTCAAAATATCTGCTAAGTAAAAATCAGATTTTTAAAAAAAGTACATACTGAGTAAATCCACTGATAAAAAACCTCTACATTATAAAAGCTAGTCTATACAGACAGAAGCAGTTTAGTAATTGTATAGAGCAGGATGGGAAAGGGAGGAGGGCTTAAAACAGGGCATGAGGGAACTTCTGAGACTGATGGTTACATTCACTGTGTTGAATGCGGTTGGTGACGAGGGTTTAATGAGTGTATGCATATGCCGAAACTTCAAATTGTACACATTAAATATATGGTTTATTGTAAGCCAATTATACCAAAATAAAGCTTCAAATAAAAAAATAGACATGTTACTTTTGAATGTAAAAGAATGTATACAAATATGCCTGATAAATATTCAAAGATTACTTCAGTATATAAAACTACCATCAAACATTTTAACGTAGAAAATGTTTAAGTTTATTACCTTACAATTTTTGGAGCCTGGGAATTCTCAGTTCCTTTAAAACAAACTTTTTTCATACAATCTCCTAAACTATGGCCAGTAATAGATTTTTTTTCGTCCACTAAAAAATCCCGGAATGACTTGGATGAAAATGAATGTAGAGAAGATGCCCTGTAAAAGGTAACAGAGATAGTGTTAAAACATCCATGTTTCAAAAAGGTCATTGCTAGAAGTCAGGACAACAGAGAGAATATAGACCAAAAATTTTACAATTACATTATATAATTACAGTTTTCAATGCAATGTTGGATTCCTGCTATCAGCTTGAACTAATCAAAACTATGTGATAAGAAAAAACAATAAATGGAGACTAACACTGGAGGTGACCCAGACAATGAATGATAGTAATGGTATTAAAAACAGTTATTATAACTATGCCTCAGGTAACAAAAGCTATGCTCACAAATAAAAAACTATGTAAGCTCAGCAGAGGAAATACTACTTCTGCTGAACAATGCTGGTAATGTTACTTCTTGATTTGTGTGCTGGTTGCATAAGATGTGATCAGTTTGTGAAACTTCAACAACCTATACACTTATAACTATACTTATATGTGTATATATGTTTCAATAAAAAGTTATTTTAAATTTAAACCTAATTTCACCTGGACAGACTAGAGGAAATAAAATTTAAGTTGATCTAAATAATCAAAAACACAAAATCAATTACACCCAATGAGAATTAAAGAGTGGAATGTATTTTAGAATAATATCCACCAAAAAACAGGCAAAAAGTTAAAAATTACATATAGATTAATTTAGCTTCCAAAGATTTCATACATATCTTTATGGTATCAGTACCATTTTATGCAGCAATAGATGTTTTGCTTTAAAATTACTAATGTAAAAAGGATTTGAAGGATGGTAGTCAAGGTTAGGCACACACGCTCTGTTGCTAGACACTAGACTTTGCCAACACATTAGTTTTGACCTTGACTTAACCTCTGTGCTTCAGCTTCCTATCAATAACATGAAGATACTAATACCATCCCTCTCCATCATAACGGTTATTATAAGGATCAAATGTTAATTTAGGTATTTAAAACAGTACCTGATTCACAGAAATGCTATGTAAGTCTATTACTACCCACAACTTTCACAGCATTTAACAAAACGAACATGCTTTAAGAGAAAAAGAAGAAAATGAGAACACCAAAGTTCTGGCATGAAGAAATATAAACAGTTAATAGGCTAATTAGTGTATCTTTCCATCCTGAAGACTAGCTGACTTAGAAAAATTCAAAAGAATTTTTAGTTAACAGTTATTTTGTACACTAGAACTACACTGTATCCTTAGCATCCTTTACGGAATCCATAAAATTAGTCAAAATTATGAACATTAATAAGGTAAACAATTTCCTAGCCTAATTTTAATTGTTTTCCATTTTATTTATTCAAAAAACAAAATGGTCATCATGTTAACAAGTGAACACAAATGCTAAACAGATAATTCCCAAAAAAGTTAAATTCGTACTTTGAAGAAACCATAAAATCCATGCCCTAATATTAAGTATATGAACTTAATCTACTTCATAAATGATTTGGGATACCCCATAAAAAGGCAAAGCCTTCTAAGTTTCTGTAGCTTGTTTGAACAGTTTCTTTATACCTAACTCAGACCAAACCATATTTGCAAAAAACTTTTACATGCATGCATCATCTCATTTATCCTTACAATAACAATTCTGACAGAAAAATATTTCCATCACCACCTACGTTTAAGAGTACAACCAAAGTTCAGGGATCTCAACAACTAATGGGATCACCGGAAATAAGGCAGAACTGGGATCTAAGCCTTAATTCTTTTTTTTTAAGTTTTATAATAAAAAAATTTTCATTTATAGTTGACATTCAGTATTATTTTATATTAGGTTCAGGTGTAGAGCATAGTGGTTAGGCATTTATATAATTTATGCAGTGATCCCTGTCTAGTACCCAGCTGGCACTATAAATACATAGTTGCTACATTATTGATTATATTCTCTATGCTGTACTTTACATCCCTGTGACTATTTTGTAACTACCAATCTGTATTTCTTAATCCCTGCACCTTTTTCACACAGCTCCCCAACAGCCCTCCCCTCTGACAATCATGTTTGTTCTCTGTATCTGTAAGTTTGTTTCTGTTTTGTTTGTACATTTATGTTGTTCTTTAGATCCCACATATAAGTGAGATCATACGTTATTTGTATTTCTCAGTCTGAATTATTTCACTTAGCAAAATACCCTCTAGGTCCATCCATGTCGCAAATGATTTTTTTTTATGAACGAGTAATATTCCATTGTATATCTGCACCACTTCTTTAGTCAATCGATTATTGATGGAAACTTCGGTTGCTTCCATAAGGTGGCTACTGTAAACAGTGTTGCACTGAACATAAGGAAGGGTACATGTATCTTTCCGAATTAATGTTCTGGATTTCATAAAAAAAATACCCAGAAGTGGAATTGCTAGGTCATATGGTAGTTCTATTTTTAATTTTTGGAGGAACCTCCAAAACGTTTTCCATAGCAGCTGCACCAATTTGCAATCCTACTAACAATTTCCTTTTCTCCACATCCTCACCAACACTTGTTTGTTGATTGACTAATGATAGTCATTCTGAGAGGTGTGAGGTGATATCTCATTGCAGTTTTAATTTTCATTTCTCTGATGATTAGTGACATTGAGCATCTTCTCATGTCTACTGGCCATCAGTATGTCCTCTTTGGAGATATATTTAGGTCCCCTGACCATTTTTTAAATTGGATTGTTTAGTTTTTTGGTGTTGAGTTGTATGAGTTCTTTATAATTTTTGGATATTAGCTCCTTACAGACGTATCATTGTTGAATGTCTTCTCCCATTCAGTAGGTTGTCTTTTTGTTTTGTTGCTAGTTTCCTTTGCTATGCCATAAGTTTTTAGTTTGATGCACTCCCATTTATTTATTTTTTCTTTTGTTTCCCTTGCCCAAGGAGATAGATCAGAAAAAAATATTACTAACAGCAATGTCAGCGAGTTTACTGCCTATGTTTTCTTCTAGTTTTATGGTTTTGGGTCTTACGTTTCAGTCTTTAAACCATGTTTATTCATGTATATGGTACAAGAAGGTGGTCCAGTTTCATTTTTTTGCATTATCTGTCCAGTTTGCCAACACCATTTATTGAATAGGCTGTCTTTACCCCACTGTGTATTCTTGCCTTCTTTGTTATAGATTAAATGACCATATGGTACTGGTGTGGATTTATTTCTTGGCTCTCCATTCTGTTCCATTGATCTGTGTGTTTTATGCCAGTACCATGCGGTTTGGATTACTATAGTCTCATACTAGTTTGATATCAGGTAGCAAGATACCTCCAATTTTGTTCTTCCTTCTCAGGGTTGCTGTGGCTATTCAGGGTTTTTTGTGGTTCCACTGTGTTTTCATTTTCATTTATCTCAAGATATCTTTTGATTTCTTCCTTGATCTTGTTGTTGACCTATTCGTTATTTGGTAGCATGTTATTTAGCCTCCACACGTTTTTCAGTTTTTTTCTTGTAATTAATTTCTACTTTCATACCACTGAGGTCAAAGATGATTGATATGATTTCAATCTTCTTAAATTTATTGAGACTTGTTTTGTGGCCTAACATATGGTCTTCTCTGGGTACTGTTCCATGGGCACTAGAAAATAATATATTTTCTGCTACTTTGGGGTGAAATGTTCTAAAAATATCAACTAAATCCACCTGTTTTAGGGTGTCATTTAAGGCTGTTGTTTCCTTGTTGTATTTCTGTCTGGAAAATCTGCCCATTGGTGTAATGGGGTGTTAAAATCCTCTATTATGATTATATTACTGTCAATTTCTCCCTTTCTATCAGTCAATAATTGCCCTATATATTTAGGTGCTCCTATGTTGGGTACATACATGTTTACTGTGGAGGGCCAGAAGTGTGCAGTAAGGGTTAACCTGGCAGCTGGCAAGTTGACAGGCTTTCAGGCCCGGGTGAGCAGCATGGGAAGGTTGCTAGATAAATCTCATTCTCCACTGTGCTGCTGCAAGCCTACATCACAAATAACCTTGAAAGTTACAGAGTGAATTGCCAGCCTGTTAGCAGTTTCTACTTGCTATACTTGGTCTCACTTTGGGAACATTTGCTTCCCCACTCCCTCAAGCTCCCAAAACATCTTACCTAAAGAAATCTACTTCTGCTATAAAAACTGTGTGTAAGCAATAAACGGTGCCACTTTTTGCCATCAGCGGACAGTGGACCTTCTGAGCCCAACTTTCGTCTCTGTGTCTTTGTTTTCTAATCTCCTCATCCAGTCCACTCAGGTTAACCCTCTAGGTGCCTGTCTGACGAGCCAGGTGGCCATGGAGCACAAGCGGGCCTCGTCAGTTTACAAGCGTTATATCTTGTTGAATTGATCCCTTTATTATTATATAATGTCCCCCTTTGTCTCTTATTATAGCCTTTGTTTTCAAGTTGATTTTGTGTAAGTATTGTTACCCCTGCTTTTATTTTTGTTTCTGTTCGTATGAAATATCTTGTTCCATCCCTTTAATTTCACTGTGTGTCTTTCAATATGAAGTGGGTCTCTTTTGGACAGCATATGTGTGGGTCTTGTTTTCTTATCCATTCAGCTACCCTATCTTTTGATTTGAGCATTTAATTCATTTACATTTGAAGAGGTTATTGATAAAGTTATTACTTTTATTATTCACATTAATGTTCACACTTATGTTCTTTTTCTTTTCCCTTTCTTCTAAAGAAGTCCCTTTAACATTTCATATAATATTGGTTTGGTAATGATGACTCCTCTAGATTTTCTTTGTCTGGAAAGCTCTTTATCTCTTCTTCCATTTAAATGATATTCTTGCTGGGTAGTCTTGGTTGTAGGTCCTTGCTTTTCAACACTGAGTATTTCATGCCAATCACTTCCAGCCTGCAAAGTTTCTGTTGAGAAATCAGCTGACAATTTTATGGGAGCGCCCTTGTAAGTAACCATTGCCTTTCTCTTTCTGCTTTTAGGATTCTCTCTGTCTTTAACCTTTGCCATTTTAATTATAATGTGTCTTGGTGTGGGTGTCTTTGGTTCACCTTATTTGGGACTCTGTGCTTCCTGGGCTTGTATATCTATTTCTTTTGCC